ATTACAGTGATGGACAATCAAGGCTAATGAGTGGGCCACATAAATGGCCCTCCTTCATGTCAGTGGGCTGCAGGATTGTTGTAATCAAGACATCTCCTGGGATAAGGTAGTTTTGCTAATGGTGCTTGTATACCTACAATTTGCAGGGGGTGCCAATTGAACCATAGCATCACTTTTTTTTTTTTTGGATGCAGAGGGAGCACATGGCTCTTCCAGTCAATGTTGTGTGCAAGCATCATGAACCTCATGTCATTTGCCCTTGTGTGTCACGCTAGTAATACTGGCAAGAAAAAAAACTATGAAGATGGAAACCAGCAGGATGTTTTGCAGGCCACACGTAGAACTTGATGGGCTAGAGGTTGCCCACTACGGGTGTATTTTTTTCTTGCTATCTGGTGGGTTAGGGAACACCTATCATATTAATGGGTAGCAGGTTTAAAACTAATAAAAGGAAGTTCTTCACACAGCGTGTAGTCAACCTGTGGAACTCCTTGCCAGAGGAGGCTGTGAAGGCTAGGACTATAACAGAGTTTAAAGAGAAGCTAGATAATTTCATGGAGGTTAGGTCCATGAAAGGCTATTAGCCAGGGGATAGAAATGGTGTCCCTGACCTCTGTGTGTCAGAGGCTGGAGAAGGATGGCAGGAGACAAATCGCTTGATCATTGTCTTCGGTCCACCCTCTCTGGGGCACCTGGTGCTGGCAACTGTCGGCTGACAGGCTACTGGGCTAGATGGACCTTTGGTCTGACCCAGTACGTCCGTTCTTATGTTCATATAACAAGACTTCTCAGCCCAGGAAGAGGCTACTGCTGTGCTCAATGATCTCTTAGTAAGCAGAATTGGTCAGTCAGTTGTATAACCACAAGATATAGTGACCTTATTCTGAAGTCAATGTCAAGTCAATATATAAGAAAGTGATTGACTTTCTCACATTTCATTGGTTCATCTGTAATCATGGGGGAAATAGTGTGTTTTCTGATGGTGCCTGAATCACTGTACATAACTAAGGAACTGATGCACATATCCATATGCCTTACAAATTATTTTCTTTTTGTCCCTGATTTGTTTGTTTTCCTTTTAGAAAATGACAGTAGTAAAACTGTCCTTATATCTTCTCAGTATTATTTGAGTTTGATGTATCTTCTGATTTACAAGTAAGGTGTGTATTTCAGATGCTCTTCTCTGATTTCTATCCTGTATTCAGTACTATAGGAATCATACTCAGTTGAATAGGCATCTTTCTCTTGTGCTGTGTCCATGTTACTTGAGTGGACAAGGATAGTGTTGAGAGCTGTGTGGGAACTATTGTAATCTGTAGATTCCCTGATTTTGGTCAAAAGGAACAGACATCTTACTATTTAGACAAGTGCATTTCACAAACCTTTCTAATCCATTCTTACTATAGAGCAGGGGTGGAGAGCTTAAGGCCTGGGGGCCGAATTCAGCCCTCCCCCCCACCACTGGGGACCCTGCACCAGCATCGCCCACTCCCCAACCCCACTACTGCACCCCTTCCTGCCCTCACTCCTGCATCCCTAGCCTGCTCCTGCCCTCTCAGCTACCCCAACCCCCAGCCCACTCCTGCAAGCTCCTTCTGCTCACATTATGCACCCCTCCTCCCACTCAGGACTCACCCCTGCCCTCCACCACTTCAAGCCTGCTTCCTGGCATCCCACTCCCCCACACTGAACTCTTCATGTTTGGCCCTACCCCAGAGTCTAAGGAGACCCACAAAATCTATTAGCCCTAGGCTATGGTACGTAAGGGGAATGTGGAAAGTGTCTTTCTGCTTCTTAGTTGGGGGCCACATCAGTGAGTGTTTTTGTTTTTCTTTTTGCTTCTCACTTTGGTGTAGCCCCCAACTGACTTTTCTGTTCATCAGTGGCCCCTGACCCAAAAAAGGTTCCTCACCCCGGTATAGAGATAAAAGAGACAGTGAACTTGAAATGATTTTCTGTAATATATTATGTGCACTACATTAGTCTCTATGGCAACTACATAGACACATCTATTCTGGAGTTTGACTTGCGAATATTTGTAATATGTCTCTAAAACTAAGGCTTCAGTAAAACCTCAAATGTAAATATTTCTTTGGTCCTTAAATTTTAGGGTCACCTTAGATACCTATTAGAGCAAAATATCTTTTGCTGTTGAAACTCTTAAATTGATGTCCTAATAAGAATAAGAATTCCAGATATTGATTAAAAAAAATCTGTGAGGAGATATCAGTACTGTATCACCTCAGAAAAATAAATGTTAAAATTTCCTCCAAGATTGATAGACCTAAATAGGAAGGCACAGAGTACAATGATTGCATGGTTTTTTTATTGTGATGAGCGGCCTAGTGCATTAGGTAAGATCTCTTATTGGACCAGCTTCTGTTGGTGAAAAAGATAAGCTTTCAAACTTCAGAGTTCTTCAGTCTGAAAAAGATAATTAGAGTGTCACAGCTAAATACGACGTGGGGCAAATCGTTAAGGATAAGGCATAAACACATGTTGTAAAAGACTTTTTAAATTGAAGTGGACAGTTAGGAGAAGGAAGGGTTAGTGGGTTACAGCGTGTTGTAACAAGTCATAAAACAAGTAACTCTTGAGTCCATGATTCTTAGTGTCTAGTGGAGTTGTGAATTCAAGCTCCTAGGCTCATCTTTGGAAGATATTGTGCAGGTTTCCTTTGAAGACAAAGACTGATATGTCAGATATGGAGGGATTGCTTTGCGAAAAGAGTTTGTCCTCGAGTGATAGCAATCGTTTTATCATTTACCATGATCAGAGTGTCTTTTATCGTGTTTCTGAGTTCATTTGAGAACGTAGTGATTGTCAAGTTTTATTTACATAGTTATTGAGGCATTTCATGCATTGGATGGAACATATCACATGTTGTGATAGGCATATGTAGGACCATGGATTTTAAAGGTGTGTTGTTATGAGGGTTATTGATCACTTTCGCAGTAGAGATATGTGGAGGTTTTCCATCTGTTATTGCAAGGTCAGGTGCCACTTAGAATCCTTGTGTTCTGTTGGGAGCTTCCTTCTGTTTGAAGACCACAAAAGTGGGGTCCAGGAAAGATTTCTTTCAGGATGCAGTCCCCATCAAGGATGGCTTGTAACTGTATAATGCACTGGTGGGGAACTTTTTTTGAGTTGGGGGCCCATTGACCCACAGAAAAATCAATCTGGGGCTGCACAAAAAACTCCTCACACACTAGAGCCTGGGAGACCCAGTCTTGTAGATTTGTGTGCTCCAGTCTCCCCAGCTGCTCCACCACAGGGCTAGAATGCCAGCACAGGGTCCCCAATGCAGGAAGGGTCCTGAGCCTCAGGGGCCGGATCCAGACAAGTCAGGAGCTACGGTTCTCTGCCCATGATTTAATGGTACCCTGTATGGGTTTCGGTATGGAATGGTAGGTGATGACTAAGTGTGCATGGTCTGTGGTTTGGTTTGGTTTGGTTTTCTGTGGCCCCATATGGTTTGTTTAGAGCCACCAGTCCTGGCTCTCAGTGTTCTGTGCTGTTGTTTAGCTCTAATTTACCCCTAAATGTCTTCTAACATCCCAGTAAGCAGTGGAAGTGTTGGTAATGCTGCTAGACAATATTGACCTTCCATGGTCTGGCAGATTTGTTTAGGCACTGGTCAGGTCTCGAGTGTGCCAAACTATGGGTTGAACCTCCCTGGTATGCACGCTCAGGACCTGACCAATCCCAAAGGAGGGAGTTTGCCAGACAAAGGTAGGTCAGGCCCCTCTGCTGACAAATCCTGGGAGAGCTTGGAGTTTATCGGCAAATCACCAGGCTCTCCTGCATCTAGGGCCACCAGGCTCCCAGCTCCTTTACTAGCCCCAGGGTAGCTGGGGCTCCACTGCTCTAAAGCTGCCGGACTCCACAGCCGCGGGGCTATGCTGTAGTGCTCTGGTCCAGCAACATCCATGGTCCTGCAACAGCAGCAGTATTAAGGTGTTAAATTAAACCATTTGTACACCGTTACCAGACTTTCAGGAAAATAAAAAAGCTTCTTGAATTTACCTTGTACTTCTGACTGACTAATCGGATAGTTATCCGTTCGAAAGTTATAGTTTCCCCCACTTTAAATCAACCTCTTTATTTCTGTTGTATTTTAAAGACTAACAAGATGGTTTAATAGATGATGAGCTTTTCTATGGTCATGCCAATTCTCTTCCAGAATATGATCTGAGGAAGTGGGTCTGGCCCACAAAAGCTCATCACCTGTTAAACCATCTTGTTAGTCTTTAAAATACAACAGAAATAAAGAGGTTGATTTATCTCTCTATTACTATTTCTGTTGTGTTTTTCAGTTGTCTTTTAATTGACATCTTTCTAAAATATTGTGTGTAAAAGTCTTCAGCCAAAATTCCCAAGATTGTTTTCAGCAAAACTTGTTTAGGGTCTCTGTGTATGTTTTGTTTTGCCTGAATTATTTAGGGCTATTTGAAACTCTTTCCTTCCTCTTGGTTCTCACTTAAACCAAAATACAAGAATTGGATAAAAAGGCACGCTACAGGTTCAGATTTGACCAGGAGCTATGCAACAGGTTCTCCGATCCAGGAATTTGTGTCCAGATATACTGGTTCTTCATTTTTTCCCCCTTTTCTAGTACAAAGATTTGTATTACAACTGCTTCTTCAGACTCGTAATGTCAGTTGTTTTGCCTTCTGGCATAGTAACCAATTACAGAGGGCTGATGTTGTTAATGTTAACCCATTACTGAAATAATGATTTAGAAGCACTATGCGAGTGATCTATAAATTAACTACTCCTACTTCATTCATATTCCCTATGTCACCAAACTACAGCAGGCAGATATTTCTCATATTTCCATTAAAGCTGAATTAGTCTCAGTGGGCACTTTTTGGAGTGACTCAAATCAGGGAAAGCAAATGTTGAAATGTGAAACAGTTCATTATTTTGAGCCCTGAAGGTGTTACTAACTTCACTCCAGAAAGTGACAAAGGATAACATTTTTCAATTTTTGTTACAAGGTGATAAATCCAATGGGATGGGATGCATTTGGATTACCTGCAGAAAATGCTGCAATTGAACATGGGCTGCACCCAGCAAACTGGACACAAAGGTATGTTTTATCTACTAGGTACTTATCAGATTCACAATATAAATAATGAATTGTACTGTTGCTTAAATTTTTAAAAGCTGAAGTATAGCACTGTGATTTTATAAACTCGAAAGGTGGTCTACTCCAGATGGCAAGTTGTAGAAGACATAGTAGCTGAATAGTATAAATGTGACATTTCCCAAACTCTGAGATCAGCATAAGTAGGTTTTGAATTTGTTCTTGAATAAAAATTGCTAGAGTACATAACTAAGGGAGATGAATTATCTGGGTGGATTTGCTGACATTTTCATGATCAAATTGAGGGTGGAAGATGATTGGCCCTTCATTTGGGCCTGACCCTAGGACATGACAAGCACTTATATTTCCTACTAAGTTCAGTGCGAGTTGTGTGTTCCAAACCTCTCAAAATTGGGCTCTATTTCTCCCATTATTGTTTGTTTTTGTTTTGTTTTGTTTTTGTTTTGTTCCACTCAGTAGTATTAACATTCTCAGAAGTGTTTTTCTTTGCAAAATAATCAAACATATGAACGGCTCATTAATATGCATGCACACAGTGGCACAGTATTCTCCCAGGAGTAAATCATGTACTACATAAAGGTAGTTCAGAGGAAAGTGTAAACTGCTGAGTTCATAGAATTATTGCCACCCTTCTCCATCCAACCTTGGGATTCTTGTGTGTGTAGGAATTATTATTATTACTATTATTATCATTACTTTTTGTATACTTAGATAAGTTTGGGATTAATTATGTTAATGACATTTTGGGAAGGAATTCAAGTGATTTCTGTTCTTACTGTAGTGTTTGCTGTGGTAATCATAATCATTATTCCATTAGCAATAAAACTATTTTCTAGTTCATTCCTTGAGCTGAGGTGGTGGTGTGGTCGGTCGTCTGTTGACCCTCAAGAGGAAGAGACTTGTGGTTCCACGGAATTGTAATCTGGGATAGAGGGCGAATTTAGATCTATTCTAATCAGATTGGCCAGCCTTACTCATGTAAAATTTTCACAAAACTCTTTC